CGATCCTTATGAAATTTGGTACGGCAGCTTTACAGCACGAGCATCAGCACCAGCGCTGCTTTAGCGCAGGCAGCTTTTGTCCTGCACCAGCAGCTGTGTTTATGTTTATGTTTTTGAGTGCAATAAATTGACTAGAAATATTAAACATACATACTTATATTGGCTAAACACAAACATTCTTAAATAGTATTATGTATATTAAAGTCTAAATGTTTGTACAACACGAGTAACGGGTATAGCGAATAGCTTTCTTTGAAAGGAGTTATCTTTGCCGGGCAATTGCAACTGTGTACAATGTAAATACATACATATGTATATGCTTACATACATACACACATACGCCATTGTTTGACTCAGACCTCCAATTTGGCTAACTAGATTTGATTTGCATAGTTCTTGGGATATAGTTCGGTATTGACAAATGAAAACCATCGCAATTTCCTTTAATAGAAATCCTTATCGAGAATTAACGTTGACTCTGTTGAGCACCTTGGCCAGCTGTTCCAAAGTCATCCGTTAGATGGCGCCATGAAAGGCGGAAATGTAGGCGCTAGCCAGGCTTAAGCGTTTAATGGGTTTTTGGGCGTTAGAGTGGGCGTGGCAAACTTTTATTAGGCCAATCGATAGGTATTGACGAAACAAATACATATCAATTAAAATTTTCATAATAGCATCAAAACTGTGGCCACAGCTTGTGGCTTGTGGGCGTCAGAGGGGGCGTGGCACCATTTTGAAACAAACTTGCGCTGCGTAGGAACTCCTAAAATCTACATGCAAAACGCCAATCTTCTAGCTTTTATAGTTTCCGAGATCTCAGCGTTCATACGGACGGACAGACAGACGGACAGACAGACGGACAGACGGACAGACGGACAGTCAGACAGACGGACAGACGGACATGGCTAGATCGACTCGGCTAGTGATCCTGAACAAGAATATATATACTTTATAGGGTCGGAAACGCTTCCTTCTACCTGTTACATACTTTTGCACGAATACAATATACCCTTTTACTCTACGAGTAACGGGTATAAATATTCGATTCAATACTCTAGAGCAACCGAGGATGCTTGTAGCCTACTGGAAAAATGTAAACTAACATGAAAATCCAATAGTTATGCAACTATTTAAAAGCTATCGGACATAAAGGTCCGAAAATTGTACCAGTCCTCGAAATAAAAATTTAAAAATTAATGGCAACACAAGCAACATTCCGACATAGAAGTGTGAATCTAACTCGCCCCTCAAAATATTCATGGGAAATTGGAAAAATAGATACTTATCGGCCTACTACATGATATTGCTCTCTTAGCAAAATTGGAAAAAATAGTAAAATAAATTATATCTTACTTGTTTCTTAACATATACCTATTGCCAATTTTATTATATAACTGCCATAGGAACAATCGGGAAATGGAATATAAAAGTATATATTCCGCCATTTAAAATAATTTTAGAATTTCTGAATGATGAGAAAATCGACCTTTATAATTTTTGAAACAACTGTAAGGGTATTTTCTATGTTTGCTTCTTGTTTTACTTGGTAATATTTTATGAATTGAAAATTAAAATTGCTTATGCTGAATCAAACATTAAAGCTGAAAAAATTCATTTAACTGTTTCGAAAGTAAAGGCAACATTATTATTACTTTGCAACAAATTGTATTTATACCCGTTACTCGTAGAGTAAAAGGGTATATTGTATTCGTGCAAAAGTATGTAACAGCTAGAAGGAAGCGTTTCCGACCCTATAAAGTATATATATTCTTGATCAGGGTCACTAGCCGAGTCGATATAGCCATGTCCGTCTGTCCGTCTGTCCGTCTGTCTGTCCGTCTGTCTGTCCATATGAACGCTGAGATCTCGGAAACTATAAAAGCTAGAAGATTGGCATTTTGCATGCAGATTCTAGGAGTACGCAGCGCAAGTTTGTTTCAAAAAGGTGCCACGCCCCCTTTAACGCCCACAATCGCTTATATACAATTTTAAAAATTTAAATATTTCGGAAAAGTAAAAATGCAGTTTTATTGTGTTTATCAATACCTATCGAAATGTTGAAGAAATTTTTCAAATCGGACCATTCGTTAAAAAGTTATGCGTGGTCAAAGTTTCTATCTCCATCTCCCTCGCACTCCCTTTACCTGAGTAACGGGTATCTGATAGTCGGGGCACCCGACTATAGCGTTCTCTCTTGTTTAAACTGTTTTTGTAATCTTGGTTTACATTTACATTTACATTACATGACAGAGAAAAATGTTATTCTTCTTTAATAAGAACTTGTTATTTGAATGCTAGCTCTATTTGTTATTTAATTGTTTTTAAACTTTTTTTTATGGTGTTATCGAATTCTCCAATGTATTGAAAGTGAATAGTTTTAGTCTTGCTAATTATTCCATATATTTCTATGTTTTACATTATTTAAACATGTTTAAACTGTCTCCAGGCAAAATGCATTAATATTAATATTGTTAAAATATTTTAGTAGCTAACAATCGTGTTTTGACCTATTTTATTTATTTGTATGTAAGTTTAAGGTAAAATAAAAGAAAAACGAATTTCCACAGCAAACAATAACAATAACATAATTTTGTTTTATAAATACGCCAAAAATAGATTTAGTTTGGTTCTTGTATGTTTAAACGTGATTTTTCTTTATCGTGGATCACAAACATTTTTCATGGTTATATTATGTAAGCGAGTGTAAGATTTCTTTCCGGGGTGTGGAAACTATTTTTGTGAAAAAAAACTTTCCCTTCCTTCACCGCAGTCCCCGACCATGCAACGCAACTCTTGCAATAAATTGTCAATTTTTGAAATGTTTGCAATGTAGGCGAGGGCAATTTTATGGCCATTTCGGAGCTGATTTAATGCGCTAAGCGAACGGGATTAGCCGGAGTCGTAAATCTGCAGTTAGATGGGGCGTTATGGTGGCGAACGTGCTGGCATCCCATCCCCGGACACACGAGACGACACTCAAAGCGGCCTTTTTCATAATTAAGTGGCGCATTGTTGCAGCCCGGAGGCCGCGTGGATTCTCTTGTAGCATCATTAAGACACGTGGGCGGATCATCTTCCTAACAGGCACTTGAACATCACACGGCGAGCAGCAAGTGCAATTTGCGTTGACAACATAAACAGCCGGAGGCAAGGGGCAGGAAGGTGCAGCAAGGGGCTGCAGGATGTTGCAACAGCAGCGACTCGAGTGTAAGGCAGCGCCAAGGATGAGCCGCGGGATAATGCTCGACATGCACAGAGTGCCGAAACGAGGGGCAGAGGGGAACGGGGCTCAGAACACGCTCTGTTACCCACTTGGCCCGCGGGCCAAGCGATTTCTTAGCCGCTTTTCGAGGAAGGCCAAGTGGGAACTATCCAAGTAGGTTTCTTTCCGCCCGAAGGCCACCACGAATGCCATTATAAACGTCGCAAAGTTAAGCAGCGAATGCATGAAAGTCAAGTGGCGGTTTATTATTTATCCCCTCGTCCTTTTGCCGCTCTCCAACACAATTAGAAGCTCTGTCTGCTTCATATTTCATGGCGAAATGCAAAAACGGAAGGGTCGAGAGCAGCAAAAACTACAACGAGTGGTTAGCTCGACAGTGGAACTGTGACACAGCACAGCAAAGGACATGTGTAAAGGAGCACTCCAGGACAGGCGGACTATCAGTGGCCAGGGCACCACAAAGCAACAGACGTCTGGGGAAAAGGATTAAAACATGGAAGGAACAAAAACCCTGGGAGGAAGCATTTAGACCAAGTGATGTCGACCACGTCACCGGCACTCCTTCTGCCGAAAGCGTGCCACAGTTGCTCCACCATCATTAAAGGGCGGAGTAAGCCTGATAATAGTGCCCTAACGATTTGGTAATATTCCGAGTAAAGATTGGTAGGTAGTAAGTAGCAACATGTGCAAACACATTTTCAATTCAATAGACGAGTAAACGGTAACCTTTTTAATGTGCTGGAGGCTTCGAATTTGAATTGTAATGAATAGGAAATTTAATATTATATTCATTAAAAAAGGTAAAATTTGTTACCCGTGGAAGAAGTAATGCTGCTAAAAAAATATTTCAAGACTTGTGAAAAAAACGCGAAAAAATGCTAACGATTATTTTTCATTAAAAATTTGAAAGTTAAGTAAACTTGTCTAATTAAACATAAAATATTAATTTCTTTGATTTAAAATTAATGAAAATATGGAAAATAAAGCTTAAGGTGTGTAGAATAAAAGTGGTAACACTTAATACCAGTTTTATGTAATTCGCTCTTGTCCATATGTATTTTCGGAATTTCCTTGTTAGCGTTCACAATCTTATATCTAATGTGTAACGTGGAGTAATTGTCAGGAAATACGGACTTTTCACAGGGAATTCTCAATAGAATTTTTATCGAGCAGCATATTTTAAGGAATTTGCAGTTTTTCTTCGTCCATATATGACCAAAATTAAAGAGCATATGATTTGTTGATGTTGGTGAATTGGTGTTGCAAAACTCGCAAGAGCTTAAACAAAAAGGTTATGTTTGGAAATAGTGTTACCTCAACCTCGATTTGATCGCCGTGAATCATGCTTCTATTCTATGCTATTATTATTATCGACTAAAAACAATATTTCAGTATCAACTCTTCGCATTATTGATTTCTTCTTTGCATTATAAAATCTTGGTCAATTGTTTTTAAAAGCTATTTTTATTCAGCAGCGGTAGTAGCTTTGAAGTGTCTTTGCTTCTTTTGTCTTCATAAAGACGGAATAACAATATCGGCATATAACAGTGTGGACAGTATGACAGATAACTGGCAGATATGGGATATAGTCTCATGCGTACACAACATACGATTGCGAAGGTTTCAATCTGTAGCTCGCAAACTGTATAAAAACCGGCGGTGATCAGACTGATCAAGAATATATAAACCTTAAAAGATCGGAAATCTCTGCTTCAATGCGATAACATTTTCTGACCAATTTTATAATACCCTCTGCAAGGGTAATAATACAATCGTTACATATGATGGAATCTGGTTCTTTATTTTTCTTTTGGATTAAACCAAATTCATGTCTTCTTCAACATGGGAAATAACCAAGTTATTATTAAGATCATCAGTTTCCATCTGTTTGCACAACAATAAATTTTTGTATTCATATAAACCAAATTGAACGAAATATTTATATTAAATTTTAGCTATACTCATTTAAAGGTCAAGGCATTTCCATTTACTAACGTATCGGAGTGGTAAAAGTGTAGAGTGTAGAGTGTTTGGCTGTCTGTGTAATGTGATCAGCCATCAGCGTTCCCGTGTTTTAAGGCGATTCCAGGAGTGAGTGTTGAGTGGGTCAGAGGGGTGAGGGACGAGGCCTTTCCAGAGGACTACATGCCCAGCCCGCCCATGCCGCCCATGCCCCCGAGGGCCCCCAGTCCAGCTGCCGCCCCGGCAGCCGCGGCTTCCTCCAGGGGCAGCTCGGTCACCACGGCCTCGGCGGTGGTCAGGAGCGAGGCCACTCCGGCGGCGTCCGAGATGGCGGTGCGGACCACCTTGGTGGGGTCGATGATGCCCCGCTCGATCATGTTGCCGTACTCGCCCTTGAGGGCGTCGTACCCGTAGTCGCCGTCCAGGATCTCCACCTTGGCCACCACCATGGCCCCGTCCACGCCGGCGTTCCTAGCGATCGTCATGCAGGGCATGCGCAGTGCCCGCCGGATGATCTCGATGCCCATGTTCTGGTCCTCGTTGGCGCCTTTCAAGTCGTTCAGCTTCTGGATGCAGCGCAGCAGGGCGGTGCCGCCGCCGGGCACGATGCCCTCCTCCACGGCGGCCCGCGTGGCATTGAGGGCGTCGTTGACGCGGTCCTTCTTCTCGCTGACCTCCACGTCGCTGGAGCCGCCCACCCGGAGCAGGGCCACGCCCGAGCAGAGGCGCGCCAGCCGCTCCTGCATCTTCTCCTTCTCGTAGGAGGAGGTGGACTCCTTGATGGCCTCGCGCAGCCCCTCCGCCCGCTTCTCCACGTCCGCCCGCTGGCCCCGGCCCTTCAGCAGCATGGTGTCGTCCTTGGTGACCACCACCTCGCCCACGCGCCCGAAGTCGCTCATCTTGACGTCCTCGAGCCGCACCAGGTTGGCCTCGTCCCCGAAGACGAGGCCGCCGGTGGCCACGGCCATGTCCGCCAGCGACTCCTTGCGGTTGTCCCCGAACCCGGGCGCCTTCACCGCGCACACCTGGAGGCCCACCTTCAGCCGGTTCACCACCATGGTGCTGAGGGCCTCCGCCTCGACGTCCTCGGCGATGATGACCAGCGGCTTGCGCTGGGCGTTGGCCAGCTCCAGGGCGGGCACGATGCTCGGGGCCGACTTGATCTTCTTCTCGCAGAAGAGCAGGAGGGCGTCCTGGAACTCCGCCTTGGCCCCCTTGGCGGCGTTGATGAAGTACGGCGATATGTAGCCGCGGTCGAACTTCATGCCCTCGATCACCTCCAGCTCGTCGCAGAGGGTCTTGCCGTCCTTGACCGTGATCACCCCGTCGCGGCCCACCTTCTTGATGGCCTCGCTGATGAGGTTGCCCACCGACTTGTCGCCGTTGGCCGAGATGGTCGCCACCTGGCAGATCTCCTCGGGCGTGCTCACCGGCCGGGACATCTTGCGCAGGTTGTCCTTCACCGTCTCGATGGCCAGCATCACGCCGCGGCGGATCTCCACCGGATTGGCCCCGCGCGATATCTTCTCAAAGCCCTCCTTGGCGATGGCACGGGCCAGGACGGTGGCCGTGGTGGTGCCGTCGCCCGCCTCCTCGTTCGTGTTGTTGGCCACGTCCTGCACCAGCTTGGCCCCGATGTTCTGGAACTTGTCCTTCAGGGCGATCGACTTGGCCACCGTCACGCCGTCCTTGGTGATCTTCGGGGAGCCCCAGCTCTGCTCGATGATCACGTTGCGCCCCTTGGGGCCCATGGTCACGGCCACAGCATCCGCCAGCACGTCCACGCCCTGCAGCATCATGGCCCGCACCTCCGGCCCGAACTTCACGTCCTTGGCGTAGGAGCGCCCCCACAGGATGTGGCTGATCCGCGCAGTACGCCGCAGGGTGCAACTGGTGAGCATGCGCATCATGACGAGCTGTGGGTGGGAATGGATGGGAATGGAATTGGATGGAAGTGTTTTTAATGTGTTTGGGGTTTGGGGACACTCACTGACTATTGCCGTTTAGTTATAAATACGTTAGCACTGTTGAGGCTCCAGTGGTTCGATGTGAAATGGGGAACTCGAACAGCAAATGCTACTGACAAGTCAACTCACTGGCATCCAGCCTACTGAGCCTCTCAAAATAAGCTGTAACGATCAACAATTTAGTTGATGCTTCAAATTTGTGTGAAAATTTGTATGTCCTATTCTTACTCGCTTATACCATTCGTAAATGGGTAAAAACGTTATATTGACTTTGACCAAAATAAACCATTTTAACTGACATTACGTTTCGTTTGATACCGTTTTTTGTTGTCCAATACTTTTTTTTTTAATATCTTGAAACAAATAAAACCAAGGAGAAACGCGATTGTCCAGTGCCTAACCACTCAACTAACCAATGTCAAAACAAATAGGCCTCCAGCTGATGGTGCAATTCAACAATTTTAGGTGGCAACAAATACAATCCTTTTACTGAACTGGGAACAAGTATAAATAGTAAAAAGAGTGAAATTATCAAAACATTTGAAACTATATAAAACTCGCATATGAAAACACATTTTATAAATACAATATAAGAAATATACTTTGACCGTTATTAAGACGGAACGGGCCGCATATCATGTAACACCCATAGAAACAATCGGGAAAAATAAAATAAAATTAAAACTCAATTATATACACACCATAAAAATTATGCTTAACGATTTCAGAATACTCTTTTACTTTTATAGATCGGAAAATCGACATGGGTTCTCATCGATTCGAAATATTGAATACTGCAGGACTATATAAACTTCGGTTTGACCTGTACCAGCGGCATGTAATATATATTTTTATCGCTTAAAATATAAATATGGGAAAAGAAAGGAGTTGGCAATTGAGCTCTTTGACAATTAGACTTGATCACAAATTGTAACAGCTGCAAGCAATGGAATTCAATCTATTGCTTTCCTAAACCTTCTATTTTGGTTTTACTTTTAACGAAATTATCATAGTCGCTGGGCTGAATTGTTCTTAGCCATTGAAATAGGCCACTTCTAGTCCGACGATATCGCTAACCATTATTCAACCCTTCCCTCCAGTTCTTCCCTTTCCTAAAGAACTTTTACCTGAACGACAATTTGTAACCGAAAAGTGAAAACCATTTAAATAGTCGTAAAAATGTGCGACGACAGCGACCGAAATACAATAAAAGCCAAGGGGAATGGGCTCCCCCACCACTTTCTCCCCTTTCACCCGTTTCCAAGAAACATAAGCTCTTCGCCGGGTATCGTTCGCTAGTCCCTGTCAGCTGCGCTTACAAGCGAACTGAAAATTGAAAACTGCTGAGGCAGCGTAAGGCGAGCCGGAAAATCGAGTGTAGGGGGACCAGAGATCGGAGTGGCGGGACAACAGGCATTGGAGACAACCGGGCGGACGGCGACAAATGGCGGTGCTTGTTCATGAAAATTTAAATTGCAAAATGGGTTTTGTGGGTGGGTGGGTGCTTACAGGCACGCCCCACACTTTTCTCCCATCCATTCGCTAATATTTGTGTTTTAATTACCTGAAAGTGTCAAGACGTTCTTAGACGAGCTTGGAGCTTAGTGCAAATTTGCCTTCAGCCTGTGACAACACATGACGCCATCCGATTATTGCATCTTTGGATAAGGCTTGTTAGAATTAAAATACAACTGGTGGCGGAAAATAGATTTATTGGGGAACTGAAAGGGCCATGTGGCACGTATTAGATAAGACCCAAACGATAGAAGCAAATACTAGAATTATATTTTGCTAAAAAGAAAAACATCTATGACTACCTTGATTATAACTGAACAACAATTTTTTTTTTAAGTATGGAAGTATGCCACAATCCTGCTAAAGCTTACTTCACACTACAGTTTAAAATGTATTTATACCCGTTACTCGTAGAGTAAAAGGGTATATTGTATTCGTGCAAAAGTATGTAACAGCTAGAAGGAAGCGTTTCCGACCCTATAAAGTATATATATTCTTCTTCAGGATCACTAGCCGAGTCGATCTAGCCATGTCCGTCTGTCCGTCTGTCTGTCTGTCCGTATGAACGCTGAGATCTCGGAAACTATAAAAGCTAGAAGATTGGCATTTTGCATGTAGATTTTAGGAGTTCCTACGCAGCGCAAGTTTGTTTCAAAATGGTGCCACGCCCCCTCTGACGCCCCACAATCGCTTATATACGAATTTAAAATTTTAAATATTTCGGAAAAGTAAAAATGCAGTTTTATTGTGTTTATCAATACCTATCGAAATGTAGAAGAAATTTTTCAAATCGGACCATTCGTTAAAAAGTTATGCGTGATAAAAGTTTCTATCTCCATCTCCCTCGCACTCCCTTTACCTGAGTAACGGGTATCTGATAGTCGGGGTCCCGACTATAGCGTTCTCTCTTGTTTTAATTCTTAAGTATTTTAATTTTGTCGTTACTAGTGGGTCCGAGAAAACTACTAAACATTTGAAGAGCCTTTCTTCTTCTTTCACCTAGACATTTGAAGTTTTCGAATGTTTGGAAAGACTTTACATCTGATTCCTCCGACATTATCTCAATTAAAAGCGAAGAATGTTTGACTATGTCAGCGCCATGTATAAGTATTTTATGAATAGGAGGCATAAAAAAACAGGGATAAAATTAATGTTTCCGAAAATCTTTCCTTCTAAAACTGTGTTTTTGATGGTATCAACTGGCCAATTATTTGTAAACTAACAATAAAGTCATGAAAAATTAGGTGGTAGCTCTTGGACGGACTTTCCTTACTCAGTCCTAAAGCTGCCATTAAAACGTGAAGACCCATTTTTATGCAGAGTTGTCTTTCTATTGCAGGTAGTATATAAGTCAGAACGACACGGATCGGGCGACTATATCATATAGCTCCCATAGGGGCAATCGGAAATTTTTTTTTTAAAAATATAACTTTGTTGTTGTTAATTTGTTTTTTTTTGATCTTTGGGATTTGGTAATATTTAAATATTATAGAATGGCGGTTTTAATTAAATTAAAATCGGACAACAATAGTATATAGTTGCAATAGAAATGATGGCAAAATGCAGTGAAAAGTCGACACATATTTATACATTTTATTTATTATAGATGATAGTAAGGATTACAAAACTAAGACTAACAAAAGGGGTGTAGTAAAATCGACATATTTCATTGTCTTTAGTAATATAGGCATAGAAATAAAAATGTAGTTTTGTTGGTTTTTTAATAACTGCAAGGGTATTTAAACTGCGGCTTGTCGAAGTTTTCTTCCTTTCTTGTTTTAAATGTTAAAACTTGAATATGTATTAGTTTCTAATTTACAAAACGTTCTGTAAACGGCAACAAAAATAATGGCTTTTGAAACTATTTCCATTATTTAAATTTGATAAAACTTACTTACATTTTAGCTATGTTGTCACGAAGCACAAGAAATTAAAGTTTTCTAACCGAGAAGGGAAAGTAAACAGAAACCGAACCCCGCATGATAACCCATTTACTAAGAATGTCTGAAGTGCATCAGTAGATGTAATTATCTAAATATGCAGTGCAATATCTGTTAATAAGAACCATATCGATTACAATAATACATCTCGCTCGGCCTCCCTGCGCACACACATGCCATAAGTGACGCATCTGATTTAATTACAACAGCCGGCGAAAATGAGCAGACATTAATATTACAAGAGAACACTGACCTATTAACGCGACTGCGGGTGTGGGGACGGGGAATTGGAGTAGGCTGAGGAGAACCCACGCGTCATTAGGAAAATGGCAACGAAATTAAAGAAAATTAGCAGTCGGCCGTGCGGCTGAATGGAGATGGCAAATGAGGCACATTTATTCGAATGTAATCCATTATGAAATCGCATAATGAAGAGATTAGCACACGCATTCGCAGCGCAATTAATAAATGACCCGAAAGAAGGCCAACGACAAAGCAAGAAAACTGACCTCCGCCTGTCCATTTGCGTGTTGAGTCCGCGAAGAAAACCAATAAATTAGGCAAACGGTAATCATTAGTTTCATTTCATTTGTGTATAACTATAAGACACAGACAAATAAATCAGGTGAAGTTCCAGTCCGAGTGTTATTGATAATTATATTGTTGGCGAGAACGTAATGAGACAACAGCTCGGAGCATAATGGGGGTGAACCATCTGGCCTCTTATTAACCTATTGATGCTCAGCTTTTGTGTTAACTTTTCCCAACAATGCTTACCTAAAAGTCTTTGCACTTCATTTAACTTCTCTTTCGACCCGCCGTCCAGGAACTTTCCCAGACGCGGTTTTCCCTTTTCCTTCAACCACCCCCATAATCGATAATTAACCACAAAACTTGGCACGCAACAGGAAAAAGGATGGGACCGGTAAATGGATCGAAAAGAGGCACTGAGCCTAAGTATAAGAAGGGTAATGGCACGGCACAAAGTTTAATTAAAGCAAGAAAGAGCGCTTTAGTCGAAAGACTCGACTACCAGATACCCTCATTAGAATAAATGATCAATCAAACTTTAAGAATATAACACTCATAAAGATGGTGTGTTTTGCAAAATTGTTTGTTGTATTATTAATGCAAACTTAAGGAAGACAATATGAACAAACTTATTTTGTTTTATTTGAAAATGTTAGTCTGCGTAAAGAAATTTGGTTGAAACAATTAAGTTCTTAGGGTTCAAACAAAAATAGCGATTCTGATCTAGAAGATACTTTATTTCTTATTTCAAAATTGCTTTATTGTCCCTATTGCAAACTTTTGTATAATGACAACATACCCTTTTTCTCTAAGAGTAAAGGCAACAGATATGTAAAAGTGGTGGTCAAAATCTTACCAAAGTTGAAAGGAAAAGCGGATTTTTCGGGAAAGTTTGTTAGTCTATTGTTCGAAGGAAAATTTGAAAAAAAATATTATTTATGGGATGGGAAAAATAAACGATAAAAGGCAAGAAAAGCTTTTGGCCCTTAGATCTCTGTATATGCGAGAACATTTTTATTATTGTTATAATTTTTTTTGCAACATTTCTAGGGTTTTGTAACCGCAATTTGGACTTCTGATTCTGAAAATACTCATCGAAGTACTCATCATCATCATCATAGGTGTGGGATTCCGAATCCAAAACAACACTTTAGTAAACTACTGTGAAATATTCTT